GTGTGTGTGTGTGTGTGTGTGCGTGTCTGTGAGTGAGAGAGAGAGAGAGAGAGAGAGAGAGAGAGAGAGACAGTAACAAGCCAGCAGTAACTTGTCCTGAGAGACATCAAAATGCACATGCCATACTCAGTAGTGGATTCAACCTGCTTATGAAGCCCTGAACATGTTTTCTCCATGAGGATGATTCTACAAAACAGGTGCCATCTGTTTTGCTTCATGCACATATGTGTAAAAAATAAATAAATAAATACATAAACAAATAAATAAATAACAGCTGATGCTGAACTTCTACTGTTATTACAGACATATTTCTAAACATTTACAAAAACAAGGAATTATTTTATTTGTTTCTCTCTTTCTCCATATAGTGCGTGTGTGTGTGTTATATTTTTGTTAACGTTAACTAATAAAAATGCTTTTAAATTCTGAGATTTCTTTTATATTTTGTACATGGCATTATGCTTTAAAGATGTGAACTTTTCAAGGACAAGTCTCCTCTATCACTTTATCATTTGTTTTGACATTTGTCAGTTGAGGAAAACCTTAAACCTGTTACCTTGAAGAAAATTTGTAGAAAACAAGCACCTAGTTTTAAACTGTAAAACCATCAACCTGTAAACATTCTGTAGACATAATTATGTTCTATATGTGTGTATGTGTGTGTTTGTGTGTGTGTGTGTGTGTGTGTGTGTGTGTGTTTAGCTTGAGATGGTACAATGCATTTCAGTAATAGCTGAAAAAGACAATTTTACTTGATTATTTGATTAAATCAGCTTATCAAAAGGGGAAAGGCACCAGTTTTATAGAATAACCCAGTGGGTTCAAAGCTCTCCACAGAGGAGTCAAAGTTTGACTAGATGTTATACAGCTACATCAGTTTCCTGCAAAAAGCATATTTTACGGTTGATGGACATTCAGGGGTAGCTGTGTATTCTGAGCAAATAAAATATTTTGCAAGCAACACATAAATCACAAATATTTCATTGTATTATAACAGATTTTTTTCAGTGCCATGTTATTTTTGAATGGATCTTGAAAGTGTAAAACCAACCTACACGGACACATTTATATTTATATTATGTGCACAGTGAAGAGGCTGAAGAAAAGAAGGGAACTGCCAACGAGAGAAAACTCCTGTCTGGACATTGGCAGATAAACCTCCACCCGCAAAGCATGTCGCAGGGGGAACAGTGGTTAATTCCTCACGCAGACTTCTTAATTACCTCCCCCGAAGAAGTACAATCACACCAATTATTAGGCTTAATTAAGCTGCATAAAAATCACTGGGCTTTAATGAAAAAGACCAGGGCCAGCTCTGTATACGAAATTTCGCGAATAATCGATGACTTAGTAGAGGGAAAAAGGCAAACCAGTGTGGGTGCTTCTTTTTACATACATCTTAAAGCCTTCTGCACATGCCTCAGCTTCATGGCCGTCCGGTATGCAGAGAACTTGATATTGTTCAGGTCCGCTGTGAGAGAGCAGCAGGGGAGATAAAAATAGAGAATATCATTCATGAGGAGAGAAAAAAGCAGCAAAGGAATAGCTGCGCTCTGACATTAGCAAACAGAGAGACGGGAAGCAATGTGTCACTTCAGTGGGGTTGAGGGGTTTATGCTCATGCCGTGGCAGAGTGTTTGGACAACCTGCGTCATGTCGCATCAGATTAACTCACACAGTAAACACCATTTAATCATCGTTAATTAGAAGTTGGCAAAGCATTCGTAAGGTTGGCCCAGCTGCCCTTGGGTTAACGAGAGAGCTGTCTACATCTCCAGGGTGGGATGAAATATTAGGTTATAATGAGAGGTCCAGGTAAAGAAATCGAGCTCAGTGTGAGACCGTCTTCTAGTTGGTGTATTTGAGCTTGTGTATGTCCGCACTATGGTTCCCCAGTGGGAAGTAGACACATAAAAGATATAAGAGCAGAGTTTAATTGTGTTTAATTGCCTCACCCAGAGCTTGGTATAATTCAGTCATCTTTGGATGGTCCCAGCAGGTTGTCTGAGCCTGATGGCTACAAAAGGGAAGAGAAAAAGAGCGAAGTAAGAGCAGAGTAGTGAAGCTAAAAATTGAAAAAAAAAACATAGACAGAGGAGGGAGAACACACGTGAGAGAAACATTAAAGGACTAGTTCACCCAAAATTGAAAATTCTGTCATTATTTACTCATTTCATTATTTCTTACTTTCATTATTTATTACCCTCATGCCGCTCTAAACCAATATGACTTTGTTTCTTCGATGCAACACAAATGCAAATTTTAATCATTATGGACTGAAAAATTTCCCATCTGCTGCAGCTTTCTGCGTATTCAAATTTAGCAAATGGCTACGACGCACACAGGAACAGCTTTTCACCTTTTGCAATAGAACAAAAACCCCTTTTGGATTTGGAGGGGGGGAGGGTGCATTAAAATTTAAATTCAGACATCATTTAAGTAAACTAACCCTTTAAGGACACTGTAAAAAATGTGGTTTATACAAAATCATAGGTTTTTCTTCCAAAAAATTTTTTTTTAAATATAAATAAATAAAATAAAATCTGTCAGTTGGTTAACTTGTGACCTAACCACATACAGTACATTGAAAAACTGTTGGTTTAATATCACATTATATGTAATTTTAAAGTAAAATCCAGTCAAATTTATGTTTCTTTTGAAGTAAAAAAACTACAAACTTCTGTATAAATTACAGTGAAAAACAGCAAGTTCCCAAAAGTCCCTATGTGACACATCACATATGATTATATTTTATATGAATAATTTAGTTTCTTCTTATTTTTGTTATCAGTAATGTACACTGCCGTGTTTTGTGACACATTTTCTGTTATTTAGTTAATGTTTATTGCATTTTTGTGTGTGTGTGTGTGTGTGTGTGTGTGTGTGTGTGTGGTGTGTTACCCAAACACAAACTCATGGCAATTATTAACTTTTAGTGAATTGGTGGTTAATTTGTATGAATTTGTACATTCTCACACAATCTGCTTACACCTCAGTGACTGTTATGTTTAGGGGTGGTGAAGGGGAATTCATACAAATTTAGCACCTCGCAAAATGGGTTTTGCATGAGATTGGGTTGGTTACCCTGATGCTGCTTTGTCTTTGTGTGTGCACTGTCTGTATATGACTGTCCATGTTTCATGGAAAAGCCTCTTATGATGAACTCTAATTCATTATGTGCCTTTTTATTTCACCAGCTGCATTAATAAAGTGCTTATCAGTACATTTTACGGTAAAAAGATTTTGATAATTCAACTAGATTTAGATAGTTCAAGTAGATTGGTATTTTAACATTATATCGCTTAATTTAATATATGGTTATAAGTTGTAAAATATACAGGTACTAATATGCTATCCCGTAAATCTGAACATTGCCACAGTATATATATATATATATATATATATATATATACAGTATCTCACAGAAGTGAGTGAGAGAGAGAGTACTCACAATCACAGTGATCTTGAACAAAGATCTCAGAGCCATTAAGTGCTTATATCCACAAGAGCTGTCTTGATGACATTCAAAGAAAAGCTCATGGCTAAACATAGCTTAAATTCAAATCTGACGAACAGGCATGAACAGTAAGAGCGTCTCCACAAAGCCGATACATGTGTGCTGCATGCTTTACTGCAACAACAACCTGTACTCATGCCTTCCTCTACAGCACCAGCAGCCATGAAAAAAACTATCAGAGGAGTAAATCATTGGAACAAATAAATAAGTGAGGGGGTCTGAAAAGGGCAGTTTTTTTAGCTGTTCACTCACTCATCATTACCTGCGCTTTCGTTTACATTGATTGGTTAATGATATGTAAACCTTCAGTTGCATAATTTTCATCCTGTGGCTTGTTCACTATGACCATCATGACATCATTTTCTGTGACTTCAGAGATTAGTCACATGGCACTTCATGGCATTCATTATATTTATTTATCTTTTATTTTAATTTCACTTTTAGTCATTTTAGTACTTCAACTTAAACCTGTTGTTGTTTATTGCAGTTAGCTGCCAAGGCAACATTCCTAATTTAAGTGAGTTTAAGCTTTTTATTTAATATTTATATTTTATTATACTTTATAACAATTAACAAAAACTTCATAGTTCCAGCAGTTCTAACAGAAATCTTTCAAAGTATAACAGACCTTCTTTCTCGACTCTGCACTCCCCACACAACACTCTATTGTGCCATTTATAAACTCAAATCGCTAAAAACGTACAAGGCCACGTGACAAAAGGAACGCCACAGTTGAAATGTTGTTTTCTTTTTAGATCACAGTGCAATAATCTTCTGCACCAGGGATCAGTAATGAGTTTGCTCTCTATACCTGATAATCTGACATGCTCATCCCACAGTTTTACACAGTCTCTCTCGTTTCTGACACTCATAGACTGCTGATGCTTTATGGCTGGATAGGAGTGGGCGATATGGCAAAAATATCATATCACGGTTTTTTTTTTATATGTTTAACCGGCAAGCCTTTAAAGCACATGCAAATAATGTACTTTTGTGATTGCGAATAAGAAGAGTGTCCCATGAGTGTAACTCTACCGCTTTGTTAACATTTGATGTGGATGTATGTTGCGTTTTACAGTATATTGAGACGGAGGCGCCAGAACTGCAACTGATAGAACATGCGCTGTAGCGCGACACTACTATATTTCTTCAAAAGCAGATCGTGGAAACATTTTAATCGTCCACGATCAAAAATCGCGATATGGCACACCCCTACGGCTGGACTTACTTGATGTAGTATGGCACTTTGTTGGGGGATATGGCACGTTCCCAAGGAATCTGCACAGAGCCTAAAGTGACAGAAAGAAAGAGCGCAATATCAATCAGACAGACATGTCGAGCATGAAAAGCTATTCTGAAATCTCAAACGGCATCGCTCAAGGTCCTTCAATCATACTGCTTCCACACGGAGAGGCTATTAAACAGCAGCACCTCAAAAGTGTTCAAGAATGGTAGAAAGCTTTTCTGTGAGTGAAGCTTTGCAAACCTCTTTATATGGAACCCCTAAGGTCAAACACTGCTGTGCTATGATATACAAATAGTGAAAACTGAGAACTATACAGTCACTGAGGTCATTCTGGACTCTGTTTAGGGGGCTTCATCACTCCTGTCTTCCTTCTCAGCTGCTTTTACAATCTAAAATGAATTAGGTGTCAGCATCCTTAAAATTTTCGGTTTATGTAACATTACATTAAGTATTATCCTTCCCTCTAGTCAGTGGTGGACCAAAGGTTAAGTGAGAGGACAGGGCACCACCTCGCCACACATAACTTTTATAAGTACACTATGCTTTTTTATTTCTCTATCCTAACACACTCTCTGTTCCAGTGAAATCACAAAATAAAGTGCCACAAAATACACCAGCATTACTGAGCTACAGACAAACAGGTGCAATTTTAAATTGATTTTGATTATTAAAACATTTTTGGCAGTCAAGCAAGATTTAATCTTGCTAAAACAACAAATAATCATCTTATTCAGACAAGGGGCTGAGCTATTGGCTAACAGACTAACTAATCGAACATTTAAACTATGCACTTGGTTTTTGTTTTTGCTAACTTTTATCTGGTTCTTATTCGTCCCAGGTAACTGTGGTTTTAGACTCTATACTGCCACCTTTCACCCTGGATGTATGAAGTTTGCTTACTAATTGCTACTGCTTCACACCGAAGTGTTCACATTAGGTGTTTATCTTTAGTGCTTTTTCTTTGTCTCATACTACTAGGGGTTGCACGACTACTGATTTCTGCTAGTCGATTTCTTATTTAAAAAATACTCGAGTTACTCGACTACTCGTGGTTCATGCTGTAAATGAAAAGACATGAAATAGTTCTTATCAATAAACGTTTAGTAATTCATAGCCTAATGCAACAATTACATAACATACGTAAATTGTCAAAACTTTATAATTATGACAGTACATATTTTAAGTTTCATGTAACAGCCAGTATTTGCATCTGTATTTGTATCTGTAACAATCACAAAATTATTCGTATCTGTATTCGGATAAAACCAGGTGGAATTTCGTACAGTTACTTGATAAGACTGTTATGACTATCTTTTTTTATCACTGAACAAATATGCTGTGTTAAACTAAAATAATTATTAATTTCTAAAAATAAATTTATCATACAAGCAGAGAGATGTCATGACAAACGTTTAGTGATAATTTGAACACGACTGAATTAATTCAAGGCACACATTTTCATCACGCAGAATTCTTTAAGCGAGTCTTTTTTTGAACTTCACTAAACAAATGTGATTTTAATGGAATTATTCCTTATCCGTTATTCGTTTTTGAAGCCATTATCCGTGCCATTCCGAATAAGGTATTCGGCTTCGGACACACCCCTAATTATTACATTACATATTGTAATTTTACATGCAACATAGAGAAAGTCATAGAAAGTAACAGCTACACGCAATATTGTAATCCTAAAATTCACGTTGTACTTGCAAACTCTGTGCATGCATTATGGTTAATGCATGCTCGAGTAGTCGATTGTTTCTGACAGCGCCGACTAGTGGTTGAAGTAGTCGATCACTCGACTACTCGACTAGTCTATGCAAGCCCTACATACTACACATATCCATTATCAACATTTATTCTCACATTTTTGTGCGTTGTTGGTGGTTCGAGTTGATAGTAGTAAAACAGCTTTATCTAGAATACATATATGTCTAGATTCTCATTTGAGTATAGATCATATTAATGATATTTCTTAAAAGTGCTTTTCATTTATTTATATGTAAAAAGACAATGCAGCTTTAAAATTCAGTTGTGAACACTCAAAGGAGCCTCATTCATTACTGAGGGTCAAATCTGAGCCCAAACTGGGTCCAAATGCTCCCGAGTCCACGATAAGACCAAGACAATGAAAATATGGTCATGGACTTGGACTCAAGACGAAGTCCCGAATCTGATCATGAGTACTACGACACTTCTTGGAATGTCACTTGCAACTGCCATTCCCTGTGTCCTCATTTAGCGTTGCAATGTAGTACTGATTTGTAGTGATTTAGAGAGCCAGAAAAGTTTGGACAACTTCTAAATGAGGCTAACTCTGTGGCAGGCACTGTCTTTGTCCTGCAATGTTAGACCGGGCAGTGAGTGACAGCGAGAATGAATAAAGTCACAGTCCACCCTGCCCATTTAAACTCAGTCCTGCCAACCCGTCTCCGCTAAGCTCCATCAGCTCACCCCTCTCTCTGTGTTCAGCATCACACTCCAGCAGAAGACTCTATGGCTTCAAATGAGTTAACACACTTACTGGAAAGGAAGTGCTGTGATCCGGGTCCAAAATCTCTATGGGCATCTTGCAACTGTTTCAGACGTTCTTCAATTGACCCCTTTAGTGGAAAAAAGAAAGAGTTATACTCCGTCATAACCAGTCATACTCAGGAATCAATTACTTTACATACTAAATCAAAGTTCTCTAATGGTGTAATCAAATAGTTCACCCAAAAAACAGAGCGTCATATGGGTTTGTAACAAGTAACTGACTACACATTGTTACAAATGGACCAGTGTACCAGTCTGCTGTCCCCATTGGGTTTTTGAAGAATACAGGTGAGAATACAGACTGATGAGCAATGACTGAGATAAACGTTTAGAAAAGTCTGTGTGGTAATGAGGAATGTGGTGAGACTGTTGCACAAGAAGTTTGCCAAGAGTAATCCACGTCTGTCGTTGTCGCCATCAACCAGACATCTCTGGGTATGGTGGACTAATTCTGAGTTATTGTAATGTAATTCATTCAGAAGATGTCAAAACACTGACATATACAAAGGCCAACAAATCCATTCAAGCAAGAAGCATTTTCTTCCCCTCCCTCTCTTTCTCTCTGTATTCCCTCTGTTTCTGTGAGGCATTTCAAGGACAACCAACACTGCTGTGGCATAATAGAAAGATTATACTGCCCTGTGTAAAAGCAGCCATCTCTGTTAATCATTGTAGCTATTGAGCCACAAATTGTCTCGTTAGATAAACATTAGAGCTGTCAATTTAACATGTTCATTTAGCACAATTAACTGTAAAACAAAAAACACAATATTATTCAAAAGTTTGGGGTTCGGTAAGATTTTTTAAAATAAATGTACACTTTCATTCAGCAAGGACACAATAAATTGATTAAAAGTGGCAGTAAAGACATTTACAGTGATACAGAAATTTCTATTTCAAATAAAGGCTGTTCTTTTGAACTTCATTTTCAAACTGTTTTCAACATCAATAATAAGAACTGAACACTGAAGTAATGGGTGCAGAAAATTCAGCTTTGCCATCACAGGAATAAATTACATATTAAAATATATTCAGATTTTAAAAAAGTGTATTTTTGATCAGATAAATGCAGTCTTGGTGAGCATCAGACACTTAAAAACCTGAATCTTACAACAGTCCTTGAATGCTTTTATCTGGGGTCTTATTTCAGCAAATACAGTTATTTGCAGTTGATTAAGTAGTAAGCTTATCATATAATTAATTTGATTACATTAATTCAAAAGAAATGTGTGATTTGATTGACAGCCCTAACAAACATATATGATAGCATTAAAACCCAAAGATTCATCAACACAGCATTTCTCATGACATTCATACTACAAAGACAAAGAGACATGCTCACACACACTTGTGCTGTTTGTCTTCCGTCACATTAGGTCACACACAAACTGCTGCAGATATGCACTTCATAGTCATTTTTTTGATAACTGGATTTACACACTCAAGTGTACTTCTCATTCTTCCTGCATCTCTTTCTGGCTCTCTTAAGCTCATCTCACACATAAAACAACCAGATGCAATCGAAACACTCAATTTCATTTTACATCTTCTCTTTTTTTCTCGTCGTAAAGGCCTTTGTTTTTCCATGAGCATGTAGACAAAAGGCACTCCCCGTGACCGATGATAATGGAGCCATCACCGCTCTCAGCCAGGCAGGACCGGCATATTATATTCCATCTCCTAAGCTCCATTTTTGATAGTGTATATGCACTAACTTAGTTGGCTGGAGCCACTGCTGGCAATGGTGATGGCTGTACTGTTTGATCTCCATAGTGGTCCATTAGTGATGGTGGGCAGGTAAGGATGAGATAAGGATGTAGTGAATTCACTACCTGCAAAAGTTTCCATCTGTTGTTGAGGTGCTCCAGAGCTCTGGCGTTCTCCATGGACAAGTGCACATCAGATATGGCCAGCTGGTGCGCCAGGTCATTTATGTGTTTCATTCCTTCCTTCACCTGGGTCAGCTCTTCTTTAAACAGCTATAACAGAAAGCGAAAAAGAGATGGATGATCAACGCCACACAACAGTTTCACCAAAAAATAAAAATAAAAATAAAAAAATTATAATACTATATATATATATATATATATATATATTCTCAAACTTTCCATCTGATTTCTGGGGCCATTGTGCATTGTTATGTTACATTTATTGAGTGTTACAATGGACTACTTGCACTGAGCCTCGTGACGCACTTTTGTGAAATAATACAGCTCAGTTATTTCCGGTTATGTATATTTTCAATGTGCCGTAATCATCTAGTTGACTTAAATGCCTATTAAAAAGAGAGTCCGCCGGATGATTTCAAAATCCGGACATTTTCAGAGACAGGAGAACAGATATTCTGATGATTATGTGTGCAGAATTTTCCAAATTCAATGGAACGTGACATTTTAATCCAACATAAGCCGATGTGAGAAAGCAGTGGCTGGTAAACATACGTGATTGTTTCACCACAGGGTGTCAGTGCTCTAAACTAGTAATCGCAACGCTGCAGTGTACGTGAGATCTGACGAATAAGATCAGAATGAACCTTTATTTATCTGTATTAAATATGTTTAAAAATATGTGTGTAAATATGTCACTATTCTGTGTCATTTTTCACTCACAATCATTTCACTGTATGCAATGCCAAAATATGAATATTCAAACAAAGTAGTCGCACTGTCAATGCGTTCCTGTTTAAAATGAACATCATTGAATTTCTTTAAGGCAGTTACCGCACATTCATTCAGCCATTTTAAACATTGGAATAGGAGCACCAATGCACACAAGCAAGAATGCTCTTACGAAAATTAGCCATGGTTTTACTACAAATAAAACCCAAAAAATTGCAATTGTAGTTAAACCATAATAAACCACAAATAAACCCGGGTTTTGCTACACTAACCAACATTTAACCATGGTGTTTAAATTTGGTTATACAAATGGTAAACCGCAAAACAAACAAAAAAATGGTTACTACACTTTTAATATCGTAAAACCATGATTATTTTTCATAAGGGTGTTTATCAGTCAAATTCATTTAAAACTGTAAATTCAACAGGTATGAAATATGATCAGCAAATATTTATTTATTATTCAGAATGCATATTTGGAAGAGAAATATATTCAGGAACATTTCAGCAGGTTGAAGATAATTCAAGTTAACACAGAGAATATGACTAATTGTTTTTTTAAAAATTACCAGCCCTAAAATGTAGTAATAATCTGCTTTCTCATGAGAAACGGTCTGTATGTAGGTGCGCTAAACGCTGACCGGAAACTCCCGAGCTGTATTGAGTAGAATGCAGAAGTAGTTGTGCAAGTAGTCCATTATGCCTGCTCTAATTTAAAGCAATAAAAAAGCCCTGATATTGACAGGCTGGCCATATGGTGGATATTTTAATGTTTAAAGTGATCTTTTATCCATTCACAGCCTACACTTGTCCATTTTCATTTCATCCACCTTGTCCACCACTGCTCACACACACCACACTGGGCATAAGTGCAAGAGAGACCCAATCTGTCGATGGCAGAGAGTGAAAATGCACCAAATGTGTAAGTGTGACATGACTCAGTGTGTGTGACAGTGCGAACTGGTGGCAAGAGAATATAAAAAAAAATGCAGAGAGAAATATTTTTGTAAGTGAAATTTGAACTGAAATAGACTAGTTGGGCTTGGTAAACCAAGGCAGCATTTATTTGACCAAAAATACAGTAAAAACAAAAATATTGTTACAGTGTTTGGGAAAGTTACTTTTAAAAGTAATGCATTACAATATTAAAAGTATATATTTTATATATTAAAAATATAAAAAGTAATCTGATTACGTAACTCACATTGCTTGTAATGCGTTACCCCAACACTGATTGCAAAATATTATTACAATTTAAAATAACTGTTTTCTAGTTTTAATATATTTTAAAATGTAATTTATTCCTGTGATGCAAAGCCGAATTTTCAGCATCATTGACTCCAGTCTTCAGTGTCACATGATCTTTCAGAAATCATTCTAATATGCTGATTTGACATGTAAATTCTGTAAAGTAAATGTCTTTACTGGCACTTTTAATCAATGCATCTTTGGTGAATAAAAGTATTCATTTCTTTTAAAAACATTTTAACATTTTATATGATTAAAATTTTGTTGTTGTTGTTGTTCTTGTTTTTAGGAGCAAATAAAAAGAAAAATCCCCGATTTTCAATGAGGTCTCAGAGATTTGAACCCACCGTATGTTATGTATGGGGTCCCAGGCAAGAGGTAACTGTAGGAGTAGTAGAAGTCTTGATCTTATGGCCTGTTCATACCCTTGACATGCAGCCAGGAAAATGAATGAAAAACTGTAAAAGTCTGCAAGACCTGCTATGTGGTTGCTGATTCTGACAGCAGGGGAAACACTGATAAATGCTCCACCTCCTGTCAGAGCGTAGCACGAACATGTCAGTTCACTGAGTCCTGCTTCAGCCTGAATTAAAAACTCAACATATTGCATCGGGGTACAGCTCTAGGCAGACAAACTAGTTAATTATTTAATTACACAGTTGCACATGTACAGTACTGTGCTGTGCTATTGACAAAAAGGCACATTACATCACAAAAACGTGTTTACATTAATAGAGAAACAGAAATATCATTTCCACACACAAGGAAGCCTTTTGGGACCCGGAAAGCAGAACAGAAACTCTGACTCACTGATGCACAAGGTAGTACTGTAAATAGATACCTACACTGTTCCATATCTATAATAACTCTACTTATCTCCACGGGAACAACCATGATCATATCGTCAAATAAAAAGACCTCCTACTGTACAGCTGTAGGAGGCTGAGTCTGTAAATCGTCACTGGTAGATTACGAAGGGAAACATTAGGGAGATACACTTCGGAAAAACACGGTAGATTACAGGATAACATATTCAGATGCCTCATCTTTCAGTTCTTTCATTGTTGCGACACTAATCTCTCTGTTTGATCATAGTCAGTGACTGAGTACAGTATCTTAAGGGCAAAACTAATAGCAGCATACAGCTGAGTGAACTGTACTATTAACAGAAAACCATAAAACACCCAGGATGGAAACCGTACAAAGGAGATCCAGAAAGTAAACGTGGTCAAGATATAAAAATGCCACTGGACGGATTATGACCGCCATTTGCTTTCTGGATCTCCCTTGATACTTGATATTTAGACTACAATGAACTGTTAGGATGGCTTAGAGGATAATTGGTATGCACCTGCCCAACTTCCAGGATCTCCAGACTGAAGAAACAAGCAGGTAACGTCATCACGGACCCTTCTCACCTAGGACAGGCAGATGCTACAGATCGCTGTGCACTAGAACATCCAGAACATTCCACAGGCCATTTCCACCTTGAACAGCTAGTATACCCACTACTATGTACCTGTTTTTGTAGTTCAGTGTACTTAAGGTTTTTTTTGTTTTTTGCCATTAGGCAATGGACACTTATTATGCAAATATTTATATTTATACAGTTGTGTATACTGTACTTAATGTGCATATGTACACAAGTCTCCTGTTTACCTCATCTAAATGTATATTCTTTTAGATTTAGATTTTAATTCTACTTATTTAATTTTTTCCTTTCTATTCTCCAGCTCCGTGAAACCATAACAAATTCCTTGGGTGTTTTTGCAAACTTTCTGGCGATTAAAGATCATTCTAATTCATCTGATTCTGAATATAAAATAAATAAATAAAAACATTTAATTAAAATAACTAAAACATTTGATAAAAATTAATAAATAAAAACAAAATAATAACATTCTAAAAATAAAAGTGTAATGTCCCCCCTCCCAACAATCTATTTGACTCATTCACATCACAAGCAAATTACATCACACATTAATAGTACATTTCATTTAAAGTCTGAAAAATAAATCACTTGTTTAAACCCTACAGTTAAATGAAGTGAGAGAAAAAGTAAAAGACCTTCTATGCCATTAAAGAACTGCGCCCTGTGGAGAGTCTCATTACAATCTGGCTGAAAATCTTATAATTAGTAATTGAGCAAGCTGTGAGGTCCAGTAACAAATGAAAAAATATCTAAAGTCTATCAGAATGCCTCGCATAGTACATCAACATCTGGCCATAGAAATACATTTATATAAATATAAATGCACACTGAACCTCTTCATCTTTATCTATTTAAGCAGCACATCTAAAAGTAAATAGTGTACATGGATCACAAGGTCCCAACAGCCAGCCATACAAAAGTCGAATTCAAGTCACTTTCCAACTTCTCAAACATGCCTACCAATGTAAGATGTAATACTGCAGTATGGGTGTTTTTTAAAGTTTTATTTGCTACTACCAAAATAGATCTAATTCAATGACTGCTGTAACAACAACAATGCTGTTGCAATGATGTCTGTTTGTAAGTGTAGCACTGGTATGTGTGCTGTGATTTAACGTCACATAATGTCGCGTAAACTCTAATGCACCCTGATCCATCCTAGACAACATCTGAAAGTCTGCCTACTCACATCAGTCAACCATTGTGCCTATATTATGTTTAAACTTTGTCCGTTCTGTGCAACTTAAAAAATAAAATATTTGATACACATACATGCAGGTGACTTTACAGAACTTCCTGTCATGCAGTGACACAGATCATATAAAGCACGACAAGCATGACTAAAATAACCCTGTGAATTCTACTGAAAATGTCACATATGCAGGGAGACTCCGATATATATGGTAGCTGACTTTTTTTTTGCTCTTTTATGCTATGCGCATGCAGTAACGCACTGAAGTAGTAATTGATGGATATAGTTACCAAATCAGACACCATTCCCTTTAAAATCCAATCACAAAAGTGTAAACAGCGATTTGTCCACATTAATCAATCTTGTGATCAGGTCACCGAAGACATATTACCTTGGTAGCATCTATGTGATCCTGCAGCGAATCAATAAACAGGTCTCCCACAGGCTCCCAGGCGTCCCTCACTCCCTCCGCCTGCTCCAGAGCCACAGCCAGCTCCTCCATAGCGGCCTGGATCTGCAGCAGCCTCTCCAGGGTTCGCTCCATGTGCCGGTGTCGGTCCACGCAGCGCGCCGTCAACTTCTCCCACAGGTCACTGGCCACGTTGGCCTGCTTCCACACGGAGCGACTTACATTCAGTATTCGCCGGCGAGGAGAGACTTCTATGACGGAGAGGAGGGTAAGAATAGGGAGTAACAGACAGGCTATGAGCCAACATTGTGAAAACAACAGCCCTGATCTCTTCATTATTAATTGCTTCATATGACACAGACACACTCATGATGACATGTGGATGCAGAATTGGGTTGATGGCCTACATGTGGGGAGACAGTTTCTCATCAGGCACTGCAATTTCTATGCACCTGTGCTGGGTTAATGTGGGTTATAATACATGAAGAGCTGTCTGTCAATAGCCGGGTGTCCATGCTCATATTTTTATGCAATTTTGGAATAATTCATTTAAAACGATGGATGGAAACACCAAGATGCAAATAAACTGTCCAACTGTGCATATAAAATATTGCAAAAAACTAACAAGTATTTTGTCTTATTTTCCAGTTAAAATATCTGAAAATAAATTTACTTGAGAGGCAACACTGCAGTTTTAAGTATAAATTAGCTAAAAACAAAAGGATTTAAAATAAGACAAAAAAAAAATTTAAGATGAATCTATGACAACCAACTTTAATATTGTATGTAGTGTTGCTTATCAAGTTATTTTATTTAGTTTTTAGATATTTTCACTGAAAAAAACAGCCCTAAAAATGAATAATAGAATAAAATCATCAAAACTTATTAAAGGGGTCATATGATGCGATTTCAATTTTTCCTTTCTCTTTGGAGTGTTACAAGCTCTTGGTGCATAAAGAAGATCTGTAAAGTTGCAAACACTAAAGTCTCAAAACCAAAGAGATATTCTTTATAAAAGTTAAGAGTTAACCACACCCTCCTACACAAAATAATGTTTTTTTTAGCAGCATCATATGACCCCTTTAAGGGTAGTTTTTTGGCACTGTACTATTACCTCCTAAAACTGTCTGATACGCTCTTACCCAGACATAAACCATCTGCTGCCAATCACCAGCACTTATTAGGAAATTGTTTTTGCAGTATTCTTACTTTTCTGCATGAATTAAACTTTAATGGAAAATTAAACTGAATGGAAACATTGCTAGAGGCAGTTGACTGACTGGTGCAGGATCCCCTTGTTTTTGAGCCAATCACCTTAGCCCTAAATATCATGTGACTATTTATTCACGAGCCAGAGGAACACAATGTCATGATGCCTGGTTAAATGTATCAAAATGGTTCATTAACCATTTTTCATCACCAGGGAACAAACCTTTGCCATCAGGCAACGTCTCCTCAGGCTCCTGGAATGGGTGTTGTGCCAGGAAGGTCTGAGCTGATTCCAACACCGAGTAGATGTAGGGCCCTCTGGATTTGACATCTTCCATGAAAGCCTGCACACAACATCATATGTTTACTAGTGTGTCATGCTGACATGATCAAACATCACAGCACAGGAATAAACATGAAAGCAGCTTCACTGACACACATAAACTAGCTCACAGACACTGTATTGGAGCCCCACAGCATCCATCGACCCCTGTGGTGTCAATCTACTGAACTAAACCCGCTTTTCCAGCTTTACCTGAGTAGATATTGACAGATTAAGACTTGATTAAGATTAAGATTGTTCACCCAAAAATGGAAATGCTGGCATTCATACCTCATGTTGTTCCAAACCTGTATGGATTTCTTTCTTCTGTCCATACAAATGAAGATATTTTAACTGTTTGTGTCCTACAATGGAAGTCAATGGGGTCCAAAACATTATTGGACCCAACTGAGACATCATCTTCTGTATTCCACAGAAGTCAGAAAATCATACAGGTTTGGAACAACATGAGGTTGAGTAAATAATGCCAGAATTTCCAACTATCCCTTTAAGGCTCTTCTAAATACCCTTAGACTTTTTTTTAACATCTAGAGACCAATAGAAATCAATTTGGGTTCCTAATGTGGTAAACTATGATGTATATCATTCGATATACATCACTTGAACTATGATGTATATCAATCATGGAGTAAACTCCCTATTTCTAGGCACCACCTACAGTTTTTCCACTAATCCTTAATAGTTACTAAGGCGACAGTAACTATCTCAGAGGAATATTACCCCCTCTTTTTAAAGTAATTTATTTGAATGATCCAACAGCTCAATCCTCTTATAGCATGAAGAGATTAATATTTATTTTATCTCCCATATTACCCACAGGAAATACCCAGTATTGCGTTCTTATGCCACATTGTAACCACATTAGGAGTCACCCCCAGTAACACGTGCCAAGTCCTTGAAACCTCTACCACCTATTTGCAAACTGAGTTAGCAACCAAGAAACTGTAAACTGAAATCAAACGGTCAAAAGTAGAAATGAACTGCCAGGCTGCTGGAATCAAGAGGTCTCCTGAGAAGTTTTTGTGGAAAGCATGCCCTCTTGCCCATGCCTTGCTATTTCATGAAATTTTTTCATTCCACTCGCTGTGAAACTTAATAGCAGCTAAACTTCATACTCGAGAGGTCCGCCTTTGGCTGAGCAAACAAAAATAAAGACTTAAGACCACTCATGTATTAATTATACATTTGTAGAAAAAGCTGCAAGAAATGGTTGTTTCTGTCAAGTGATGTCTCTGTTGTTTCTTCAACTAAGTACTTTTAAGTAATGATGGTATCTACTTAGTGTTCAAAGACTCGATTATAATTTCAGTCTACACTAGTATTAGGGCAAACTTCAATATATACACAGTTTTTAAAGCAAACCATACGCCCAATCTATTCAAATCTGTCAACAAACTCAGAAAAAAAATAGCACAGGGGAAGACAAAAAGAGTATGATATTAAAATACAGAGAAAGAAATTCACTTATGATCAATAATTAAAATTTCTTAAAATAGCGTAATTCTCTGCAGAGCAGCATATGTGATTTCGCTCTCTGCTTTGTCAGGTAAAGGTTTAGGACGATGTGGCACATTGGGAACGCGAACATTGTACATTGCAGCGGTGAATTGGAGGAAAAGAGAACAGTATGTGACAGATGGAATGATAGCGCAAGGATGGGGGTGCATGCACGTGCATATGTGTATCTACATATTACATAAAGAGCAAAAAGCGAGCAATAAGAGAGAAATAAGTGAGAGCCAAGAAAGGGACAGTGAGATACAGGTCTTAATTTGGAGGCTGATTTCACAGTGTGTCAGTCACAGAAAGAAAGAGCTTGCTATCTCTCTCTCTTTCTTTCTCACTCAATCTTTTCTCTCAGTACCCCTCTTTTTCCTGCTTTATTCAGCTGACAGCAGTGAAATTGGTGCTAAGATGGAAGCAGTATCCTACAGGGCCAATTACAAGGTGTGTGTTTATCTGGGAGAGTGAATTTGTGTTCGTGTATTGGGAGAAAAAACAAGTTTGAATGCAGAACATAATGTGTATACACAGGAGAGTGGTAAATATTTAAGGGGATAGTTCACCTAAAAATGAAAATAAATCTGTCACCATTTACTCACCCTTCATATCTTTCCAAACCCGTATGAAACAAAATTCTGACATCCACCCCAGCTCTTCTGGGTTCATGTGAATTCATTAGAGAAGCAGTGATGTGTGATCCGTGTATGAATCATTGCTTTAACTTGTTCATTGTTTCTCCTTAAATAAATATATAACGTTAACTGTATGATTTGTATCTTAGAATTGTACATTTCTGCAATATGAACATTACATTGACACAGTCACATCTGATACCAGATTACTCTTAACTGTGATGTAGAATCGTGGATTTTCTGTAAAGTTGCTTTGAAATGATGTGTATTGTGAAAAGAGCTATAAAACTACACATGAATTTCATTGAACTGAATCATTCTTTTGAGTTAGATCACTTCAATAAATCAGGTAATCCAGATCTAAATGAATCATTCACAAATCTGACTGATTCTCAAGTGACTCACTGACTCTGATCTGGTTACAATGATTAGCAGCTCACTGGAGGGAAAGAATGTCAGTAAATAATGTACATTTTGGTATGTTTCTTTACAAAATGTCACAAAAAGTAATAAGAACCCCATCTATGATTCTTTCCTAGTGCTTTTATGTCAAGCTTTAATATGTACATTATAGTCTTCAAAATATCTCCATTTGTCTTCCAGTGTCAAAGAATGTTATACAGGATTGGAATGACTTGAGTAAAAGTCTTTTTTGGTGAACTATTCCTAAATTGGAGGGAGAAAAAAAGTGTTAACATAAAAGTTGCATCTTAAACAATTTATTGTGCATGCATCAGTTGCTGCCACTATTCTCTGTTCTATTTTCGGTGATCTTGCAAGCTTCTTTGTGGTTTATGAACAGAGGGGGGTTAAAATTTACAATTAACATGTTTCATTCAGGTCTACTTTTGCATCTTGATAATGGATTCAGAGGCTTTTTTATTAGCTTACAGGTGGGTGGGCTCGAATCTTTAATGTCATTCTGTCTGAACTCCTGCTGCCATATTGCAGTCTTAAATATTGAAATGATTCTGTTATGTTGATAGATGACAAGATTAACTGTGTTCAGGAGCAAAGTCATGAGATATCTGTGTGTGATATGCATGTGTGTTAGGCCAACCTGGTGGAACTCCCGCTGGTGCTGCACCGCTCCGACATCACCACCTATGGGCAGCTGCTCGGACAGCTCCTCGTCTTTAGCTGTCAGCCATTCAATGATCTCCTGCAGGGACAGCTGGAGCTTCCCACTGTTGTCCGAAAAGGCCTCCAGCCGTACCCTGCCAACACAGCAAACGACAGCCCATCACAGGGCACGGACCCATGGTCAAAACTTAGACAGCACTGAGATCACAGCACTGATAAACCGTCCAAATCAAGAGTCTCAGGACATACTGTTACAGAACCTTGTCACCATTTCTGTTTTATTATTTTTGAGGGTTTTGCAATGTTATGGTGAACAGGCAAACATAGCTAGACAACAGCATGTTTTCGATGCTCCACAAGACTCCATATATATACTATAAAAGAGCAGTTTCATGTCTACCCTTGTATTGTTTAACTGGACAAGGTTGATATGGGATTTAGAAAGTAATAAGTAATGCAATACTTTTTAGAGAGAGTAATTAATACAGTAATCTAATTACACTGTTGTAGATGTAATTAGTAACTTACCCAACACTATGTATGTGTGTGTATTAAATATTCTATATTTAAAACATTATTATAATTATTAAATTATATTAGTAAATAATATATAACACATTAAAATATTGCTTTGGTTGGTTGGTTCCAACTGAACCATGCTAACCTACTTGCACTTGTACTAACCGGTAAGCCTCAGATTCAACCTGCCTCCATCTCCAACCTAGGCACGTCAAAAGAAGAGTTATGCATATCGAAGAGTATAACACATCTCCATGACGTCCCAGCATGTAATGGAACAGGAAAGAATGTCTCAACCCATTGCTCTGCATTTACGAGGAGGAACTCATGGGATGAAATCTTATCTGTTTGCAGGAACCACATTTTAGCCACATTGAGTCATTTAGCCACCTGACCACATGGACTGGAATTGTTTCTGTCATTCTGTCAATTCTGTCAGGTCAGCATCCCACTGTCAGACTACGTTCCGTGTTTTGTGTGTGTTTTGCTCCCCATGTGCCCTCCTTGCCCATATTTGGTTAGTTTCCTGTTCCTGTCTACCTGTGCTACGTGAGTTTTCCGTGTTTCCTTTATGTTATTAAACGTCTCTGGATAGATGTACTCCTTGTCTCCCTCCGTTCCTTGTTCCGCACTCCACTCAGTAGTGCAACCGTGACAGAATAGATGAGAAAAGATGACTGCAGCTGAGGACGAGCTGTGGAGTTTGCAGCAGGGCGGTCTGAGGTTGGAGCGATATGTGGAGGGTTTTCTCGAGCTCTCTAACCGGGTGAGCTGGCACGACGCCGCTCTAGGTGTGTGCTTCCTGCTGGGGTTGGATGACGAGATAATCCGCTGCGATCTGCTGCGATCTGCTGCGATCTTCTGACGTGTGATTTTCCCCTGATCGAGCTGATTAATCTTGTGCTGTTCTTAAATGGTTCTGATTTAGAAGTTGAAGAAGTAAAGAAACTTCCCAAGCCTCGTCATCCAACTCCCGCTGGAACGCGCCGCGTCTCCCCAGCTCACCCCACTCCGGGGGCCGCGGCTCACTCAAGCCCGCCGGCCGCTCCGAAGATAGGCCTGCCTGCCGGCCGCGCCGTTGTCAAGCCCGCCGGCCGCTGCGAAGCCATTGACGCAAGCCCGTCGGTCACCGCAATGACAAGCCCGCTGGCTGCCCAGTTTCCCCATAACCCGAGGAGGATGAAGAGAAAAGGACTGTTCTTTGCCTTCATCCTAGCCCCAGAGCTCGCTCCAGTGTCGGCTCCAGGCCCAGCATGTCTACCTGTGCTACGTGAGTTTTCAGTGTTTCCTTTATGTTATTAAAAGTCTCTGGAAAGATGTACTCCTCGTCTCCCTCCGTTCCTTGTTCCGCACTCCACTCAGTAGTGCAGCCATGACACCCACCTGATGCTGCATAGAGGATTAAGAGAGAAGAACCTTGTGTTGCAATAACCCCCAGTGTCCCAGCATGCAGCAGACACTCAAAACTGCATTATTTTTGGCCCATTATATAGCACTCAAGTGCACTAGGGAATGCAGGAAAAAAAAAAAACTAAGACAAAGGGATTTTTTTTTAAAAACATTTATGTGTAACATTTTATGTTAGAAAAAAAAATATTTGTTTGTCATTGTCATGTCATTGTTTGCACAACTACTGAATCGCCACATGACATTGTAAAAATAACCGATGCATTGAAAAGCTAATGCTAATGCAGCGAGAGCCGCATTAAGTCATGGGTGAAGTATGATCCATATGGCTCCAGGCCATTTAGGTTGGTCGTATAATGGTTGTGCGATTATACAAGACAACAGTGGGACATTCACCTATTTGTGTCACTAGTGTTTTTTGTGTTTGAGATCATGAATTCATTTTCTTCTCGCAGTATTTGCAGCATCCTATCTACCTTCCATTTTAACAAGATGCTTAGCCTCTGCTGATAAAAAAGCGGCCTCACAGCATGATGCTGCTTCACTGTAGGTATGGTGTTTTTTGAGGTGTGGGCTGTGTTAGATTTGCAGCACACATACAACTTTGAATTCTAGATAAAATGCTATATTTTTGGCTCATCTCAGCAATATTTTCCTGGGTCACTATTATGTTTTTTGGCTCCAGGTGAGCTTTGCATGGGTCTTATTGGACTCCTTTTATGCCATTCTCCCAAATAGGTTATAAGCTGGGTTTCCATCTGCATATTTTTATGCTAATTTTGAATTTTGAAAAATCTTGCTATATGGTAAAAGGATATTGCATAAAACCTGCCTGCACATCAAAAAAGTCATTTGACTGAAAAATTTGCTAAAACAAATTTACATAAGAGTGACTATTTTGTTCTAGTGAACAAGTGGGACGGAAACAGCTTAATTCGCAACTTGCTTTTGTGAATATTTATTTATTTATTTATTTTTGCAGAAACTGAATTCAAAATTACGTTGGATCTCGCATGAATTGTTCTCATCCAGGAGAACCAGCAAATTTGGGGCTGCATGATGACTTAAAATTTACATTATTATTATTATTATTATATTAAATCAAATCTAACTTGAAATGGTAAAAAAAAAGAAAGAAAGATATAACCATATAAACTGAACTATTTTTTTCCTTCAATAACTTTTGTTTTTAATAAGAAACACAGTTCTGAAATCACAATTGCGGTTTGATAATTCACCTATATCGGCACTCCCAGTTTCTGGGATTTATTTTAAAAATTGTGCTAAAAAGGTTGAGAACCATTGCCTCATATGTGCAACTTGTAAGGTCCATTCCTAGCTATTTAGCCCTTTGACAAAATCAAAGATTTGGGGATGGTGTATCCCAAGGATCTGGACCAGTACCCAAAAAGCTGCAGATACAACTCCAACAATCCTGAAATCTGTGCTGTCATCATTGTGCCCTTGAGCAAGACCCCAGGTTGCTCCAGTGGGACTGTCCATGTAATATGGAGCCCCTTTGGATAAAAGCGTCTGTTAAATGACAAAGCAAAAAGACAGTGATTGTTGGCCTCAGTGTACCTTTACTCACAAATTGACCTCGGCTTCACACAGATTGTTTTGAGGGATGACTTGTTTCAACAGGGCTAGTAAAATTTAGCCTCCACTTAGTGATAATTGAAGCGACAGTGTCCACCGGGACATCCAAACACTAATGTGCTTGTTATTTTAATCATTCGCAGATAGAGGCCAATTGTCAGGCAACCATGTGCTCATTAGGACAACACAGGTAGATATAGAAAACTCATGTAAAACAAAGCCATCAAAATAATTAATTTGTAGTCAGTGATTGAAATCACATTCTCAGTAGAAATGAAAGAACATGTTATTATATACGGCATAATTAGAGAACAAGAGGAGGGGTCTGATGAAAAGAGAGAAGCCTGTTTCACCTGTTCGGACCTCTATTGTAGTGAAGGAGGGTGGGCACAGCGCTCTCTATAATGATGTGTTATTAGACTCAATAAAGGCAGCCAGGCTGCAGACATTTCATTAGAGAGCCTGTGTGTTCTATAGTTGCCTGAAGGCTCCTTCATCATACAGACACAAACACAAACAAGCACACACTTCCTCCAATGGTACATAAGCACACATACGCACACACACATAAAACACAAAATAATTTAACCCGAAGAAAATGCTGCTCACTCAGCTGCTACTTTCAAAGGGTCACAGCCACAGCAAGCTGTAGATTTTTGTACTATTCACATCAAAGATCAAATGAAGCTCCTGTCTGTGTGAGTTTAATGAGTTCATGTAACATTTCTACTCTGCGGTGATGGGTTGAACTTACTTAGAAATGGGAAGGAGGAGTTCTTGAAAGGGCCTTTTGTCACACGGCTAGCCTTCAGCTATAACCGGCACACACTGCTTTTGATACTCTATTACAGGTTTGTGTGTGCTTGTTGTAGCTTTGTAAATTGAAGTAAAAATCATAAGTGTAAGTGTGTATCAAGCACTATTATAAAAAGTCATCGAACAATGCTAATAGTGCCGTTGTTTAAGCAATGTCAAGGGTTTAATTATCAATTTTGTGGCACTGATCATGTGAACTCTTTCCATCCTACAGCAGGGCTCGCAAAATCGCTAGCCCGACGTCCCGGGGCTATTGTTTTACAGTCGGGCTACCAAAATGTATCACCGCCCTGCCCGACGGGCTATCTTGAACAGTGATATAAAATTCCTTCCTTGATTTGTGTTGTTCACTAGCTTTTAGGGGTAAAACGGATCATAGTTGATCATTTGCACGTGTTTCTAAGTCTTGCCGATTTAAACATTCAAGTGTTTTAAACCATTCAGACAATGCGCATTGAATTGATTCCTCTTTCGCATATCTTTGCATCTGAATGAACACATACTGTGGAAGATTTTATTGGTCAAAATATGAACTAATCAAGTATAATCAATGTGAATCTAGCCATTTATGTATCCAGTTATTCTACTTATAATCATGTATCTGCCTGTGTGTGAGGCCTGCATGAGAATGGAATGTGCAGACAGTGCAGGGGTACAGTATATGGTGGAGCTGCACACTCTATTTGGACATTAGACAAAATATATGATGAGACCTCCTTGGTGCATACATTACAAAAATACAGTATATGGTAAAGTTGCATGCCCTGTTTTGACATTAGACAAAATATATGAT